GCCAAAGAGGAAAGTGATCAATGGTGTAGAGTGTGCCTAAAGAGAGTCGCATGGAGAGAAAACATTCTCTCAGGCTTTCTTAGGGAGCACATTGGCCAAGCAATGGCCGTGACTCATCCACATGGCTGACACTGACAAAAGTTCTACAATCTGAGGTACAGGATCTCAGGATAAATCCTGAGGGGATTTGACTGACCTTATCAGATCCAAAAGCTACAACTCTTCTTGCGTGGTCTTGCTTTATTTTGTGTTTTTTGTGGTTTTGTTTGTTTCTTTGTTTGTTTTTGCGGAACCAGGGATTGAACTCAGGCCTTTGTGCTTGCCAGTGAAGTGCTTATTCTACTGAGCCATCTCCCCGGCCCCTTTACCTTGGTTTTAACCATCCAGCAGAAAAGTATAGAAACAAAGGATAAGAAGTAAAGCCATGGTGTTATGTTGAGCTATAGGGGACTCAGGTCAACAATTTCTGACACTGCCAGTCAGAGGAAGACCCAATACTATTATGGATTACTGGACTCTTTTAGAATATTTTGCTGAGTTAACACACCTATAATATTCAAATGACAGAGCTAAACAAAAAAGGGGATATATAAATGAATGTCCATTTTGTATCTGTGTATTCAAAATGGTTAGGATAGATATATAATTACATTCTCTTAATGAATAGAAGGATTTGTTGTAATAGTGTTTGTAAAAAGGATATCATGTCTACATCTGGTAAAGCAAATAATCACTAGGAAGACAGTATGCAATGTGTTAATTATTGAAACTGTCCTAACAATTTGATTTGAAACTGTCTCATTACTATTTGTCTGTCAATAAAATTATGGCGGAAACACACACACACACAGAAAATAAAATTAGTGCAGTGCTGAAATTGCGTATTTGGAAAATCAACAAGACCACCTCTACAAAGAATAGCCTACTACAAAGACTCCCAGAGCCCTATTTCTGCCAAAATTCTTGGCTCCTGGCATCTGTAGAGGAACAAGCAACTCCCCAGTCGTTAAAGGCCAAAGTCCTCTGGAAATCCCGCCCAGGGCATTGACAATCTACATTTCGGCTACAGCCATGTAGTTCTTTGAAATTCTAACACATGACGTTTAAATCCTCTTGTGGCGGGAAACCGTGGCTCTTCTTCCAGAATCTTTGGAGATTTGCCTGGACTGGTGAGATGGGGCCAGACAGTCTTAAATTTTACCTTGGTTCTCATTGCCTGCTAGCTCACAATTCTCGGCCCCACATCTTTCACCCGTGGTTTTCCCTCCACAACACTATGTCTCTGCTAACGTGTAACAAAACGCCCCTTCCTTAATTTCCCTGAAACAGCACTCACGAGGGCTGCTGGGAATTATGGCAGATACTTACTGAGCACTAGGAGGCAGCCACCGGATGCCCCCCGCCAGAGGAGCCCTGAGGAAAATGTGAAACAGAAGACTGGCTGGGCGCAGCCTTCTTTCTCCCTCTGGCCCCGCAGCCCCTCCTCCTCCTCTTCCTTCTTTGTCCCGAGCCCTGGCTCCCCCC